GTGCAGCCTCTCCCGCCCGGCCGCCCCATCACCTGCCGCCTGCCACACACCTTCGTGCGGCCCTCATGCCGCCACCCGCCGCCTGCGCGGCGCCGCTCCCCGCCCCTCGCAAGCACCAACACCTGAAGCAACCCCCTCCCCCCAACCCCATCCCCGCTCCCCGCCGCGATTTGCCAACGTGCCATATTTGCATTTCGCAGGCGGCCTCGTCGCGGGCCACTACACGCGCGACAAATTTTCGCCAGAGGAGGCCCGCGCGAGGCACGCCGACATCGTGGGTCGCCTGGCGGAAGTCCTGGGGCTGTGCCAAGGCGACTGGTAGCTGAGCGGACACATAGGTTTGGTTACAAACAGCTCACCGATCAAGCACCGCGCAGATCGCCTCGTCCGCGCCGAGAGCCGGGCCGCCGCGGTGCGGGGGAGGGGGGGTAGAGACTGGGAGGGTTGCGGGCCGGAGTGTGCACGCGAGCGCCGTGTTGGGGGCCGAAACCGAGGATGCCAGGCGGACCTGGCCGCCCCAGGCCAGCCGGCGGGCCCCGGCAAAGGCCGTTCGGGTGGTGCCTGGCAGCCCGCCGCATCAAGCGGGCCACCTAACGCCGTTGATTTGAATTTACAAAGCAGCCGCGCTGCACGCGTGCCGCATCGATTTGCATCCATGCCACCATGCGACAGCACCCAACTCTTTCCTTCTAGCCAACCCCTGCATCGGCCCCTGTCTAAAAGGGAAGCCCGTTCCCAAAACGACATGCCGATCGTTTGTAATTCAAGCATTTTTACGAGCAGCAAGGTCAACGCCGCTGCCTGGGCGGCCACACGCAGGTACTCCCAGGGGTCAATGAGCAGTTTACCAGTCGGACCGTCGGGTCACTCAGTTGGCCATTTTGTCACACAGCACAGGGATGACGCTCGTGTGAAGAAGCACGAGCCTGCAGGGGCGGCTCGACGGAAGCTTGATCACATACGCGCGGCTTTGTTTGGGTGGAGATGCTGGCCTTTTTGCGGCGTCGGTGAGGTGGCGCTGACCCAGGGAATGTGTGGCGGGCATGAGCGGGCAGCACACACGGCAGGTGAAGGGGTGGGCAACTCAGGTGGCCCCCAGGCCATGGGCAAGCGTGCGGTTGAGACTGTACAGTGCCGCATTTGCGGAGCCTTGAGTGTGGTGTGGGCGCCGCCGGTAGGCACCGCGCGGTGTTGCCGGCTCTCGTGCACTGTTGATCATCCTCCTGGTGATGAAGGTGACCACCATCGATCGCAGAGATTTTGCATGAGCAGACGGCTGTGCGTCATACTCTCAAAGTCTAAATTCTGATGGTTTGGCGTTTGAGGCTGATCTAGGACGAATTACACACGAATCACCGCTTTGGCCCGAGATCGACCGTGATCTTCAAAAATCCCCACCGCTACGGGCTGCGGCCGTCCCCCGCTCCAGATGTCACGAGTGGTTTTTATGAGCGACCCATCAAATCCGGCCGCTGCCGTGACCAGCTACGCTGCATTGCCCAAGAAGAGCCGAAGTGGCCGGGTGAGTGGCCAACAGCCTCGAGGAGGTGGTGGTGGTCTTCATAACACCATGGTGCTTGAGGCACCGCAGGATTGTCCGATTCCACCGCCACACGCTTACAGCGCCCTGCATGTGCTGCCCCATGCGCTGCCGCTCCGTTCCAGCTGCGCATCAGCCTATCTGCGATGATCGATCGACTGGAGAAGCTGCTCGCCGATAAGCAGTCCCATCTTGACAACTTGAGCCGTCAGCATGCGGTGAGCCCGCAGCGGGGCGCCCCGTCAGCCAGGCCCGCGATGAGTGACAGTGCTCGAAGCCTCGAGCACGGTCGGCAGCAGCACTGCCGGCCTTGTGCCGCCCCAGGGGGATTGGGACTCCCCCAGATGCCACGGCGTGCACCTGCGGACGTGTTGACAGTGGCCTTCGCTTGGGGCGTGCGGCCACGGGCGCCTCGGGGACGGGCCCCTGTGCATGCTTCACCTGGGCTGCTGGTGCGCCTGCTTCTGCATGCCCAGGTCCTGCAAGCGAAGGAAGAGGCGTTGCGGGCGCTGCTGTGGGCGATCGACGCGCTGGATCTGGTTTCGGGGCGCCTGCATCAGCTGGGGCACGCCTGCCGCCTCCGCGCCGGCGGAGATGACCCAGGGCCCTCATCGCTGCAGCAGCTGGAGGCGGCGAGCGGGAGCGGGGCGACGGCATGCCGCGGCGGCGCGCAGCTGGCATGCCCCGACTTGAGCCCCACGGCTGGCGCGGGGCTGGAGGCGGTCCAGTCGGCTCAGGGGCTGCCGTTGCAGCTCTGCCTAGACGACTGGGCCGGCCACGTAGACTCTTTCTTGGCAGAGGAGGGGGCGTCGGACGCGCTGCGCAAAGGGATCAAACCGCAGGACGTTGGAGACATGTACACGCGCTTCGTCAAAACCACGTCGCCCCTCGTCCTTCGGTGAGCCCAGCCGTGCGCGCCACATGCGCGGGCCGCGTCACAGCTCACTTGTGCCCGGGGACCGCCGCGCGCGCCAAGCAGGCGCGGCGTGCCACCGGCGCCCCGGCCCACTTCCTGCGCGGATCCCAGCCGTCCGCGTGCCCCGGCTGCAGCGGCGCCCTCATCCCCCTCCACCACCCCTCCGCCACCAGCATCAAGGGCCGCTCCTACGAAGCCGCGCGCGCCGAGGCGCGCATCGCCGCCGAGGTGGCGCGCCTGCTGTCGTTCTTTGCTGTGGCCTTCATGACGCGGCCTTGCGTCGTTTTCGGCGGCGTGTGCGCCGACCTGCGGACCATGCAGCTGCTGGAGGAGGACGCACCTCTCAAGGAGCACTGGGCGCACTACGCCTCCGAGCTCGGGCTGTCGGCGCACCAGGTTTGAATTCTGGCACCCACTTGCGTCGGTGCCGCCTGGCCGTGAGGCAGCGCAGCTTGAATGCGTAGCGCCGGCCGCATGCATGGCGCGGCCTGCATGCATGGCTCGATCCGCAGGTGCGGTTGCCCCCACTTCATGCGCCCCCACTCCATGCAAATCAGCTGCATGCGTCGCCATGCAAGCCCCCACACGCTCCATGCGCAGCAGCCCGCCCGCATGCGCGCCCGCATCGCCGCCATGCCGCAGGCGCAGGTTTGCATGCAGCTGCGGGCGCAATTCGACGCGCGCATGGCGGCGCTGCAGGCGCGGCGTGACGCGCTGGCGCATCAGCAGCTGGCGCTTGCGCACAGTGCGGCGGCGCAGTGGCAGCTGCTGGAGCAACTTGAGGCTTGCCAGGTGGGTTCCAGGTTGGGCATGGAAGGGCTGTGATCTGACGCCGAATTTCTGGGTGTCAGTATTGGAGTCATGCCCAGGGTCAAGGCGGCAGGGGGTGATGTCATCGGACCCCAGCAGCACCAGAGCAGCGTGCCTGCATGCCCGCTGCTCGCGCCAGCCGTGGGGGCTTGAGAGGCTGGGGTTGGCGGGCGGGTTCCCCTGGCGTCCAGTGCTGGTGCCCTTGAAAGCATGCTGTGTCACCTCCTGCCAGCTTGCCGAGCAGCGCCCGCCGGCCCACCGCTGGGCCTCAGCCCCTGTCTGCTCAACTTCTCGTCGACGCCCTGCTCCCTCCAACCTGCCCTTTGATTTTGATCACCTTGTGACAGCACGGCTTTGACTGGGCCGTCATCACTACAGTCATTGCCTGCCACCTCCAGATTCTCAGGCCGCTGCAGGTGCGCGCGCTGCCCCATGGTATGCCTCCAGGTTGCGCACCCTCGCACGCGGCCCGTGCACGGCGTCGCGCTCTGTCCACCAGAACGCGCACCCGCCGCAGACCGACCGCCCGGCCACGCGCGCCTGCCTCGCTTGCCGCCGTGGACCGCTTGCTGTCGCGGCGCGTCCTCCTTTCTGCGGCCGCTCGGCGTCCCTGGCACGCGGCTTGTCTGCCCTGCATCCTTCGGCCCTCAAAAGTGCCCCAGCCCCGCCGCCCGTGTACACGCAGCCCATGCTCAGCCTCCTCCCCCTTTTCCCTTGATCCTCTCGCGCCGGCCCCTGTTGACAGCCCGCAGCTCGTTCCGACAAACGAACGCGCACCAGTCTCCCAACCCGCCCTGCCATTCTTTTTCCCTACCCCCTCCCCTCGCCTTACTCACGATCTCTGGCCCCTCCCCTTGACAGGTGGCCAGCTCCACTATCGCCGCCTTCCCCTATACAGGCTCCATCATGTGGATGTGGCGCGCCGCGCAGGCCAGGCTCGACGCGCAGCAGCGCAAGCAGCAGCAGCAGCAGCGGCAGCAGCAGCAGCAGCAGCAGCAGCAGCAGCATGGCCACCAGCAACCGCAGCAGCAGGCCCAGCCGCGGCCCCCGAGCGGCCGCGGCAGGCGCCGGCCGGGCGGCGGCGGCGGCGACGCACGCGGCTCATGCGCCGCGGCGCGGTCGGTGTCGGCGGACGTCAGCCGGTCGGCCGCGATGGCCGCGCCTGCGAGCCTTGCGTAAGGACCGGCCTTGGGCGCGCGCGCAGCTGGAGCGCCGTCACGGCGCAGCGCGCCCACGCGCTTTGCGGCTGCGCCCGCCACTTTGCGGGCTGCCCTCGGACGCGTCGCTGCGCTCGCGCAGGGTGCGCTCTGGAATAAATGAGACCTCCGCGATCCACCGCACTTCAGAGTGGAGCATATATCGCCGAAGCAGGCACCCCGGGCAGCATGGCAGCGCTCGTTGTCACGCGGTCAGAGATGCAGCACCCGCACTTCTGGATTGCCCCCTTGACAGGGCACAACAAGGCACTTCCTGCAATCGTTGAACTGCCACTACTGTCCACTCCATCCTTTTGAGCCGCTCTTCATTCCTAGCGACGCCGCCCCTTGCTTGCACTGCCCATCTTTCACACCTCGTCTGAGTCTTCACGTGTCAGCCAGGGCCGAAGGAGCAACGCACCCCACCCGGCCCTTGCCTTGCCGTGGACGCCCCTCTTCAGTTGTCGTCAAGCCTCCTTTCCCATCTGGCTGTTTGCCACTTGACCTGTCTCGTCCTGTGGTCCATCCTTTCTGGGACACACACACACACACACACACACCATCAACTACATATGCCAGCAGAGGTGGCCGTTTCATCTGATTGCCATCAAGGTTTTCAACAGAAACCTTGCAACCACAAAGTTGGCGCGGGGTGAATAAGTATGGCGAGATGGCCACATCTAACGGCCGCACCACACGCAAGAGCTGCATAGAAACCAAAGGCTCATGGGACAACGGCCATGGACGGCCTGAGTCCCAATGGGGGACCGATGATGCTACACGCACTTCCGCACTGCTGTTGAGACTGCCGCAGCCCTGTTGCTGCCACACGTGCCTTTCATCACACATCAGGGGAGGGTCCTTCGAATTGTACCAATCGTGCTTGCCATGATGCCACCCACGCGGTCAAGCGTGAGGGACTCTGCTGAGTTGTTTTTTTTCAGCAAAGGCTGTACTTGTTGACCACATTGCAGCCATGCGCATGCTTCCTAATTTGCACCTGCTGGACTAGTTTTTACACATGTTTGCAATTCAACACATACTTGGCGAGTGGCACATGATTGTAAGTCGCGCCATCGGCTGCAAACCTCTACATCGCTCCAGGGGGGGGGGGGAGGTGAGGGGGCGCAACCACAGGCGCCTATACAGACCGTCCACCAACCATGAGGAGGGCGGGTGAGCACCGTTCTCAGCAACACTTTGATAAGGGGTTGCCACAGGTGCTGGATCGCGCGGAGCGCCGTGCCGTGGGAGCTCGCGCAGGCGCGCCGATGGCCAACCTCGCTTGGCGTTGACTTTGGTGCCACCACCATCACAGCTGCCGGGAGCTGCATGTGGATGCGCTGGCAAAGCAGCTGCCAATTTTTCGTTGAAGAAGGACTAAACAGCGGCAACGGCTGCAAGGGCAGTGCCGGGCGGTGGGTTTCGTGCTCGAGCAGCACCCAGGCAGCAGCGTGCAGGGCAAGGCTGTGAGCGTTCCATGCCGAGGGGATGATAGACGCGTGGCGAGTGCTGACTGTTGCTGTAGTATTACGAGTGGCAGCCCAGCGGCGCCGTTTGGGCCGCCGCATTCGCTTGCCTTGCTGGCCGAAGTGTGCAGCGCCGAATGGCTGCATGGACTTTGGATAACTTTGGATAACCCAACCCGGCCTTGCACCAAGAGCAGCGGTCAAGTAAGCCAGGGCGGGCTTATAAGGCAGTGCGACCCAACAGCGCTCTTGCCTGATGCTCTCCATTGCTTTTATTTCCCACCTCGCAGTTGCCGCTGCCACGAGCTTGTGCAGCGACGCAGTGCGCATTGCACAGGCAGCCTCACATTTCTGCTGCAGATTTTGCGGTGACCTATCGTTCACCTTCCAGTCGTCAAAATTTGCCCCTACAACTGCAGGCTTAGCTGGGCCCTGAAAACACAGCGAACAGGAATCTCAGAGCCTTGGGCCGGTGCTGCGAGCAGCTGAGACACTTGACGCTGCCAGCGTTGCCCAGCGGTATCACCGTGCGCAGGATGGGCAACGGCACATGTGCAGTACAGTGCACGTCACAAGCAAGGCAGCTACTTCTTCTGCAGCGCTTGGGAGCGCCACTCTTGGGGTTGCTCCGGAGGGTTGTGGGGTCCCGATTGTCTCATCAGTCGTTCTCCTGCGGCGGTGACCGGACGCGCCACTGGGCAGAATGGCCATGCGGCCTCTGATCTTTCACCTGTTACCATCTAGCGCACGCATAATTATACGCGGCAAATGGAATCTATAATCCACATCTTCCACGTCGCAGGCTGTCCCATACGGTACGACGCAGTTTGGGTGGGCGCCACTGCGAACGCGGATCCTGCGCGTCCGTCACCGTAGATGAGGATGGCGCAAGTGGATGTCACGAGGGACCGTTTGGAATCCCTCCCTCCAGTGGTCAGCTGTTCTCAACCCCAGAAAAAGAGCCGCAGTGGCCGGGTGAGCGGTGAACGGCCCACCGCAGCCTGGTTATACCTGCCGGAACTAGCTCGTTACGCACACCGAATCCACGCCTGACGCCGTAAAGGGGGTAAAGTGAGCCATCAGCGGCAACTTCTTGCCATCTCTTCCAGGCACTGGCGCTCATGCCGCCCGTGCCGCCTAAGCCGCCCGCGCCGCCTATCGTGTCCCACAGCTCCGCATGAGCCTGTCTGCAATGATTGACAGTCTAGAGAAGCTGCGCATAGAGAAGGAGGCAAGCCTGAGGGCCTTAGGTCACCAGCACGCGGTGAGTGCATGCCATGGCGGGCGCCTGGGAAATGAAAATTCCCCGCCGCGTCGAGCCCACTGCTCTCTCAACTGGACCGTGCTGCCCACGCTGGAGCGCCTTATAACGCTGCGCTTGATGATTGCGGGCTCTGCCGTGCGGCACTCCACAGCCAAAACGCCGTTGTCGCCATCTCCTGGGCCCTCGGGTTGCCTTGCCCAGCTGACAGCGCGCTGGGCTCGCGCTACCCTTGCCCCCGCTGCACCTGCAGGTCTTGAGAGCCAGGGAGGAGGCATTGGGGGCGCTCCTGTGGGCCATTGACGCCATGGATCTGATTGTGGGGCGCCTGCAGCAGATGGGGCATGCGTGCGACCCGAACGGCCGCGATGACCCGGGCTTGTGCTCGCTGCGCCGCTGGCATGCGTCCGTCCAGCAGCAGCAGCAGCAGCAGCAGCAGCAGCAGCAGCAGCAGCAGCAGCAGCAGCCGCCGCCGCCGTTGCAAGAGGCCGCCTGCGAGGGCGACGCAACAGCCAATGACAGCCGGCGCGATGGCGGACCCTTGAACTCGCAGCAAGCGCGGCAAACTGCGTGCCCCGACGCCCACGACATGTCCGCCGCCGCGGCCGCCGCCGCAGCCGCCGCTGCCGCCTCGGCCGCCCCGGCGCCGCCCCTGCGGCTGAGCCTCCAGGAGTGGGCCGACCACGTCGACTCTTTCTTGTCAGAGGAGTGGGCGGTGGATGCCCTGCACCGGGGCTTTGTGCTGGAAGATGTCGGGGGCACTTACTCGCGCTTTGTGGAGACGGCCGCGCCGCTCGTCCTGCGGTGAGCGACGGGGCATCGTGCCCGCCCGACATGCAGGGCCGCTGCTCGCCGCATGCGCCCTTGACTTCAAGGCATGCGCCACTCGTTGCAGCCGTGCTCGCACCCTCTCACCCTCCCTCCGCCAAACCAAACCCATCCGTGGCCCCGTGCACAGCATCAAGGGCGGCTCATACGACGCCGAGAGCGCCGAGGCGCGCGTCGCGACCGAGGTGGCGCGCCTCATGTCCTTCTTCGCGGTGGCTTACGTGTCGCGGCCGTTTGTCGTGTTTGGCGGCGTCTGCTCACACCTTCAGAACGCAAAGCCGCTCGAGGAGGCGGAGGTGCCGCCCAAGGAGCACTGGGAGCACTACGCCTCCGAGCTAGACCTGTCGCTGCACCAGGTTTGAACGCGGGGCACATGCGCACATGCAGATCGGCCACATGCACGCACGCATGCGACGCCCTGCAAGGCTCAATTTGCGCAGGCGCATGCCGCGCATGCTTGTGCTCACTCGTCATGCATGCATTGCTCCAAGCCATGCGCGCACTCCCGCCGCCGTTGCATGCTCGCCACACCGCAGGCGCATGTATGCATGCAGCTGCGAGCGATGTACGACGCGCGCATGGAGGCGCTGCAGGCGCGGCGCGACGTGCTGTCGGAGCAGCAGCTGGCGCTCGCGCACGACGCGGCGGCGCAGGAGGCGGTGCTCGAGGAAATCGAGGCTTGCCAGGTGGGGCAGGGACAAAATACTGGTGGTAGCGGCCTCCCCGCCACCCTCAGTGAACGCATCCGCGGCCCGCATGGTTTGGGGGCTCAGGGCTGGTTGGTGCGCCCTGGTGCAAGCCGCACTGGCAGGCGCCTCAAGTGACACCTGCTGCGTTTCGACGGTGTCTCCATATCCACGTACCAACCTCATACCCCCGCCCCGTTGCACGTCTCAAACTGCATGTCACCAACTGCAGCAAGGCTTTGCGTGGACGGTGGTGACAATCGTAATCGCCTCCCGCATCCAGGTCTTGAGGCCATTGCAGGTGCGTGCGCGCACGTGCACGTGCGCGCGCACACAGACTCGCGCACTCACGCAATTGAGCACGCACGCTCCCCCCCCCCACACACGCACGCACGCACGCACACGTGCACACACACACACACACACACACACACACACACACACACACACACAGTCGGCCCGGCGCGTGGTGCAGCCGGCCCACGCGCCTCATTGTCGGGCCAAGCGCTCATCCCGGCACCTTAAGCACCACCAAGCTTGATGATTGAGCTGCACAAATACCCCACCCTGCAGTTGCCCATCCTTTCTCATTCTGGCGCGTGCAAACACACAGCATCTCAGCCTTTCTGTGGCCCTTCTCCCTGCTCAGCCTCTCGCCCCTCAGCACAAGGCATCAAGCCTGCGAGCACCCACCGCTGCTCACCAGCCCTGCCTGACAGTCTTCTGAGCCTATCAGAGCACACATGGCACACATTCACATCCGCCCCTGCCAGTTCCTGCGCTGCCCCCTCTCCCACTCGCTCTCTCCAGCCTCGCCCTGCCGACATTTCTCCCTTCCACCCCCCTCGCCTGACTCATGATCTTAGGCCCACCCCCTCCCCTTGGCAGGTGGCCAGCTCCACCATCGCCGCCTTCCCATACGCGGGCTCCATCATGTGGATGTGGCGCGCGGCCCAGGCCAGGCTCGACGCGCAGCAGCGCGAGGAGCAGCAGCAGCAGCAGCAGCAGCAGCAGGGCCACCACCACCAGCAGCAGCAGGCCCACACGCGGCAGGAGCAAGAACAGGAGCCACTGCCGCCGCCGCGCGGTGTTAAAGCGAAGAGTCGGGGGAGGGACGCAAACAAGTGACACGCACGGTTCGCGTGGCGGGGCGCGCTAGATGCCAACGAGCGCGAGCAAGGCTGTGGACCCCGCAGCCCGCACGGTGTTGGCGGGCCGCGGCGGGTGAGGGATCCTTGATTCTTGGGGTGGCAGCACCTTGTGAACTAGCCCAGCCTTGACGCACCCATGCGTCTGCGGTCGCCTGTAGACCGACTACACACTGAAGGCATGACGCACACTGAGCTCATTAAACGCATGAGAACGCACAACAGCACACAACACTGCACCGGAAAAAGCACCACTCCCCGCTGGTGTTCAAGTGGGCGCCGGCGGTGGCACATCAATCCCTTTGCTTTTGCTGCGAGTCGGGACGCGAGCCGATTTGGTTGGACATTTGACGCGCCACAATTGCTCCTCTGGCGACAGTCGTCGCTTTCTTCTTCACAATCCTGTAGCTTTGGGGCTTCCTCAACGTCTGCACCTCCTCCGCGCTTGGCTAGTGCGTTGCAGGGGTGGCAAAGCTGCTGTTCTGGCCCCGTTCTTGGCACAGCCGTCGGCACGGCCTTCCTCGCACGGCCCATTGCCTGTCCTCCCTGGGTTCAGTTCCTATCAGGCATTTTCCTCCACGTATGAGATTGCCATACGGTTTGTTGCCTTCGCCCCTCCACCACACTATCACAGGGTGGGGGGTTTGTTTGTATGTTTCAGCTACGCTCTTGTAGTTTTGTGGTTGGCACAGATGGCCGTCACGCCTCGGCACAGTCGAAAGCCATTTCAAAACTGACGTATCAGGGCATTGGGGGTTTCAATGAAATAGTGGTATCATGCCGCTGTGCCTCCACGGTTTCATCGAGACCGCGGCACTTTGGAATGTTTTCTGATACATTTTGCGCCGCAGCGGTGGTGGTGGCAAGGGTCCTGTATATGGTACTGTACTGTAAAACCAGTTGGCGACCACGTCGCGCCTATATTACGCAAGGTACAAGCTTGGCAAATTTCATGGCCTTTTTAATCGATAAACTCTATCTTAGCATGCATGCAGTAACGATAGATGCGTTACCGTGAGGCGCGCGGAGTGGTCACCACCGTAGACACCGCACACGGCGGATGTGGCAGGCAGCAGTACGCTCGAAGCGATTTGGGTATCATTCTCGCCCGTAGCCGTTCCATTGGAACCTCTCAATGTGCTGAATAGAAGTATACCTCAACTACCTTGGACTGAGTCACCTGCGGGGATGTGAGTGTTCCTGGTGAGGGAAAGGACACTCAAGTCATACTGTACGAGAAGTTGCAATGCTGAGGCTGACAGCAGCTGCCAGTGTAGTCAGTACGTCAACGTCGTTTGTGAGCTGTTTGCCGTCCCAGACAGGTATCGTGCACGAGAAATGTGACAGTACTTGTGTTTTTTAGGTCGCCTTTGTTGATCCGCTCTGCGCTGATCTTTCAGTGCACCCATGGCTACGCTTGGAGCTTTTAAGTTTGAGGTTCATGGAAGAGTGCAGGCACGCTTGATGATGTGTGCATGTGGCGGGCGTTGGGCTCTCCTTTGCCGTCCGTAGTGGAGAGGTGGTGCGCTGGTGCCACCACTGCAGCGTCGGCAGTCACCCGCGGCGGTTTGCCATCTGCCCCCGACGCATTGCGCTGCGATCATGCAGGGAGTCTTCTTCAGAAACCACACGGTTGCGCAGGCGCTGCAGCTGCAGTTGGTTGGGTGGTGCGCCAACTCTGCCCGGCGAACGGTGGTGAGTTGGCGCAGGCCAATTGTTCAAGAGAGCGCGCCGCGGACCGGCGCGAGTGCATTGTGTGGCTTGCTGGGCAACTGCGTCCTGATCGAGCTGTGGTGCTTCTGCGGAAACTGACCCTACAGATGCGGGGTCTGCGTCCGCAAAACCCTTGCCGCACGTTTTATGCATGCAGGTGGGGGAGGTGCAGGGGGCAAAGGACAATTTGGAAGCGATGAAGGTATGTTGGGGACAATGAAGTGGGCGGGAAGGTTGGCGGCAGCTGCCCGATGCACTATCTGCGGCTGCACGCAGGTGCCGTTTGAGGCAGCAGCGCAGCGCCTGTGTTTCTGGGGCGCGTCCGCCCGGCGTGCGGGGCACGGCAGGCGCCGCTTGTGGGAGAGCCGGGGGGGACGAGTCAAGACGTCGCGCGGACCCACACACGCGCACGCAATCAAAACGCCCTCCCTTTCCCCCGGCGCCGGCCCCGCCCTTGCTTTTGTGCGCGCAGCACTGGCTGGGTCATGTGGGCAGCCCCGCCTCAACCATCACAAACCTGGAGGTGACCGACGAGCGCGACATAACCAAACTTGATTATCAGGACATGACGCGGCGGCCCAACGTGCCGTGACGGGGATTGCAGGCTCACAAACACAGCGAAGAGACGCCCTGTACAGACCTGCAGCTTGTCGTGCGAAGGTCTGCACATGTTTGTGGCCACTGTCCCTGAAATCATGCGTTTTTTGGCGTTCTAGTTGGGTTGATGGTCTCGTTGTACATGCTGGCTGGCTGCCACTGCAAGCCTTCCTGACGCGCACTAGGGTTGTTTTGTATCTCTTGTTATTTCCAAGAACTGTGATCTGCATACTCAGTCAGTCACAATGCGGTGTGGCTGCACGCCTGTAACTTGTATTGCAGCGGCGCGGCACTCCTGTGCGGCAGCCCGGCCTGCTTGTATGTTGTTCACATAATCCACCAGCCTGTTGGGCTTGATGAGCTGCCTGATAGAATGTCATGATACAAGCGGGGTTTTAGGCAACTCAATGACGTGCTGCTGGGGCCTAAGTGTCAAGCGGCAGGGGGGGTGAGAGTTATCGCTGGTGGCGGGGCACCTGGGGGATCAACGGCTGGGTGCGTGTGAGCATCTAGGCTGAAGAGAGTAGCAGTGAGGGTGACGTGGGTTTCACGACACGGAGCCATTCGGCAATCGACACGGGGAATATACTAACTTGGTCGGATTGCGGTCTAGTACAGGTTTGAATCGTGGAGCGCTGTGCAAAGAGCCCTATCTAGATGAGCGGCCCGCCCGATGGTGCTTCTAACCCCCCCCCACCCGCTTCCAGTGACAGCACTGCAGGAACAGGTCCGCCACGCGACTCAGTGGCGGCAACAACAGATCCTAATGTTTATATAATGTACTCTCGTTCCGCACGTGGCGGTAAATCGGTCCAGAGACGAATGGTCGCGCAAAACTCGCCGTCTCGGTCTGTTTATTCCGTACTTGCCGGGTTCGGCAGCCTCAAGTGAGGCCACCGCAACAATATTGGCGATGAGGTTTTCATTTGAGTATAACTTAGTTCAGCTGAGACTTCGAGGTGTCCAACTGCACATGCGACTCCGTTGACTTTGTCAAACACGCCGCACGCACCCCCCATCTGCACCTTTGAGGCGCACCTGCCAGCGCATCAATGCAGCTCATCAGCTCGTATTCAAATATGGTCGCCTGTATCAATGCCACGCGCGCACCCATGCAGCTTGCCATGCGAGCCAGCATCGTGCCCGACTGTGTGGCAGCCCTTGTGGGGGCCAGATTTTTTAGCAACAATGCACCTGGCCCTAGGCAGGTCCAGGCCCGGACGGCGCCCGCCCTCTCATTAGCTGCGTTGGGAAACATGACCAAAGAGAACTTCCGCCAATCCCTGACGGCAGCTCAAGTGCTCTATGGATCAAAGGAGGACAAGGCGTCCCTTGCGGTAAGCGACTCATCCATCCAGTCCTGTCAGAGCTGCAACACGGCTGCCCAGGCACGAGCCCTAGAGACGTCGATCTTGATGTTGACTCATGTGAATTGACGATGTTATCTCTGATCTTCCCCTGCAGAACAAGTACTGCAAGCAAGTGCTGCAGGCGGGGCTGGAAAGGCCCAACTGGAGTGCTGTCATCGCGGCCGGCGGCGCCTGCGAGGCTGGCGGGCTCAAAGGCCGTGACGACGCTTGTGCCGTCGACGCCGACACCTTGTTCACCCGGCCCTGGGCTGCAGAGCTCGAGGAGTACTTTGGCCCCGACAGAGCGCAGGCCTACAGCGACATACTCATCAAAACTGGCATATCCCTGGCAGGCCCAAACGACATCATGGACAGACCCGGCAGGATCTACATTTCACGGGACGAAAAGGTGAAGAACCCGGCGATCTTCCATGTCGGCGAAACTACGGCGGATCTGCGCGGCAAGAAGCTGGGGCCCGCTGCTGCTCGGGTGTTCAGCTCCCACAAACAGTGCGGGCGGCCGTACGAGCTTGTGGGTGCCGACTTCGGTGTCTGCCGCGCGCGGCTGGGCGAGAGGCTGATCCACGCGGAGCTGAGGTTGGATCAGGGCCCCGAAGCCAAGGAGCAGTTGAAGGAGGCGGGTTTTGGCAAGGGTGTCACATGCTCGTCCTGCGAAGCCCAGCACATCGAATGGTTTTTTGCGCCCGAAGAGAAGCTGCGCAAGGTGATCCAGTGGTGGTGTGACTTTGTGGACAAGCACGATTCCGCCCTTCTTTCAAACTTCTGCTTGAAGCACTCCTTTCTGCCGCTGTGAGATGATGCCACCTCGTCGACCTATTGCCCACAAACAGCACTTTTTGCTCACCATTTCCTGGTCACCTGCACCAACTGCTCATTTGCACATGCACAGCAAGATCTGCGTCGTGTGCTGCACGCCCACCAAACATTGTTCGAGTGGGGCCGGGGCAAGCCCCCGTCGGGGCAAGCCCTCGCCCGGGCAAGCCTCCGCCGGGGCAAGCCCCCGCCGGGGCAAAAGCCCCGCTTGAACCTTGCTGTGCCTTGAGCTGTGGGTCAGCAGGTTGCCTTTTAGGGCTGAGCCATTCGGCAAAGAATTTCACTTGGAAGCTGGTCTGGAACAAGTCCAATATTGCCACGTGCATGTTGACTGCAGGGCGACGAACAGCGACGCCCACCGTTTCCTTGGTCAACAGAGGGCAGTGAGTGTGTTCTGTTTGATTGATTGATACCTTGATTAAGCGCAGCCTGTCTCTGGGAGCGCATGCGGTTTTTTGGGCATTGCCCGTCTCATGCCGGCCATGCGTGGCCGCCGCAACGCTTTTGCCGCGGCTGATGGTGTGGTTACATGGGCAGACAGTCTAGCTTGCTCACCTTTGCAAGAGGTCGCTGGGTTGCTAGCTTGTGCATCATGGAGTCTCGTGAGAGGTGAGATGACTTTTGGGCGGACAAGTAACAAGGCGGCCCAGGCTAGCTGAAGGTCACTTAGAAATGAGAAGGCTACGAACATCAACATGCATGTCGGACGCCAGTGCCAGGACGGCCGCCCGCTGCCACCACTGCCTCTGCGCTCTGCCACTGTCAGCGCGCGATGGCGCGCGCCTGGCCCGCCAAGCTTCAAGAGCGCTGATGGACCACAACGGAGCACAACACGGAGGAGGTTGACCGGTGACCTCCGGTGTGGCACCACCCCACCCCTCTGCAGAACGGGCATGAGGGCATGGCCTGATGCATGTCACACTGATGCTGCCGCTATAATCGCTCGATTGTCGTTCTCCAGCGCTACTGCTGCCTCATTTCGACGCACGGACCGCGCAGCAAGGCAGCAGTCCGACCTCCGCTGCTGCACGGAAGAAGCCGTTGAGTACGGTAGCTTCATGCGTTTTGCCCAAAATAATTCTTTCAACCAATTACGCGCAACAGCCCACGGTGCATCCCAGCTAGCAACGCCAGCTGTGCAGTGGTGCAGCCGCTGCAGCTGCACTCCACTGTGCACTTGCGGGCCGCCCCGTCCTGCCCGCCAGCCACGTGCACCGCGGTCGCGGCAGCGCGGCAGCGCTCACGCAGACGCCACGACTTGACAGCCGCCATAGCTGCGGCGGCAGTGCGGCAGTCGGAGCGACTCCTGGTGCCGCGGCGCACTCCGAGTGCCGGGGCCTGGGGGCAGCGGCCTTCACCGAGCCATGGGTGCGCTGGCCGTGGTGTGCGGCGTGGTCTTTCGGGACGAGCATCTGGCATTGTCCTACAAGCTAGCGAAGTGGGCGTACTGCCTGCTGTTCACAATCGTCAGCATCATCACCTGGGTGCTGAGGTGAGCGGCCCCCTCGAACAGCGGTACAGCCCAGTGCCGTTGCGTGACACTCAGGGTGGGGGCGAGCCGCGCGGGCGGCTGTAGGTCGCCGCAAAGGACGGGGTAGGGATTTTCGTGGATTTGTAACAGCCGTGCTGCGGTGCGTGCCATGCCATCGCTGGCGGTAAGCAGGAGCTTGCTTGCTTTTGTGGGGTCTGGGGACAGCTGACGTCGCCGGTGGGGGCGCCCCTCTGTTCCCTAGTTACCGCGCCCCTTGCTGGAATTCAGTACTGAAAACGGTTGACATTACCAGGCCATGTGGGACCCTTCCTCCTTGGCTCGCGCGCGCACACACGCACACACACACGCGCACACACACGCGCACACACACACACACGCACAACCGCACGCTTGACTGGTTGCTCACACACGCACGAGGCTCTGACAGCACCGCTCCCTCCCCTCCAACATCTACTCAGGGATCGCTCGGAGCAGATTCTCCTGAAAGACACCGTCGTGTCCCGCTACTGCCAGCTCACGGACTTCGAGTCCCTCTGCAGCGGGCAGCAGGTGGCGCTGCGCTTCAGCTTCGCCAACTTCAGCTTCTTCACCGCACACGCCATCGTACTGTTCTGGTGCACCAAGGAGGGCGATTTCAGGGCGGGAATGCACACCGGGCTGTTGTTCTGGAAGCTCCTCGCGTTGACCGGCGCGATCGTCGGGTTCTTCTTGGTGCCGGTGAAGGCAGTGGTGATTTACGCGCAGGTGCGGCTGGGCGTGCGCAAGCGCGGACGGGGCGGGGGAGGGGGCGGGCGGAACGGTCAGGAAGGTGGGCAGGTGGGCGGCGTCGCGACGCGACGCGACGCTTGCACGGCCTTGCTGCAGCTGCCCGATGGTGGGTGGGTGTCTGTGCTCCTGCTCGATTGCTGTTTATTTGTTTGCCTATCTGAACCATTTCAACGCTTGTTTCTCGGAGCCTTTTCGCAGCCCTTATAACCTGCCCCGCTGCTCTGCCCTGACCGCCTAAACCCTGCGGCCGCCACTCCCCGCC